TACTCTAAGATGATTTTTATTGTTCAGTTGTTAAACGAGGAACACACAGAGCTCACAGCGACTTTATTTTCTGGTATGCTCATTGCCATTTCTGTACGGTGCTTTTTTTGAGAAAATCTCTTATTGCCGGTATTATTCACACAAATTTACCAGATATTTTCCGAGAAGTCGATTTTTTTATCAATCTTTTTCGACTTCACTTAACAATGTCATGTAGTAACATAGTGAAGCTTTCTCAACCCATTTTATCAAATAACTTATACATACATACGTTCGACCATAGAATGAGCTCGTTTGTAAAAAAACTACAAAATATCACTAGTAAAAAAAAAATTAGTAAAAAACCTTAGTAAAAAATTAGTAAAAAAATCAGTAAAACTCGAAATATTAGTAAAAAACCTTTTAAGCAAAACAATTCGACAGCACAAATTTTAAAAGAATTATTAAGGGGATTACATGAAAATTGATTTCTACGTAATACAAAAGTTATAAATTCATACAGGAGCAAAATCTTTACAGAAATCAATACAAAAATTATACATGAACTGCAAATCATAAAAAAAGCTATACATGAACCGCAAACTTAACTTTTTACACAATTATCATAAATTTTTACTACTAAAGATATCACTTATCTTGCATCTTCATCTGCACTGCCTCCTTCTCGCCGACCTTTTGCTCCTGTAATGTCACGTAATTATGAAAGTGGAGGGCTCGGTCAATACACAGCAACACAAACTCAAACTTTCATGCAGTTTATCGGCGGCACTATAAAACAGATCTGTTATCCCGCTTCTACGTGCCGGCCACTAACATGCTTCACTTTTTTCTCTTTCTCTACAAATGTGCACATTTTTAGTTCTCATCGTTTCTATTTACATATGCATATCAATTTTTATGTGTTTTGTGTTGTGTAACAGCAGTACAAAACACATATTGTCACGGGGTTGTCTGTGTGTGTGTCCGCAGCAACTTGTCCGCAATTTTCAACTTGGGAACCACAAAAGCTACGAAGCTGAAAATTTAGGGGAACGTTTCCCACCCACGTGTGACCCCGCAAATTTAAATTCAGCTCCCCCGTACCCGCGGGTAACACGTACGGCTCAGCGAAAGTTTTTTGCGGGTAAATTAACATTTCGGGGGTCGAGAAAAGATACTCTCCCTTCAAGGTTTCGAATTCAGCTTTCATGCGTTGGTGGGTGAAATTTTTAACTGTTTTCCAATGTTTGAACTATTTTTGCATAGACTAAAGTA